TAAAGCTTTTTAAAGTTTTGATAATTGAAATAAAGTAAAATGACAATACTATATAGTTTATCTATCAAGTAGCTTATTTATAGTATTTAGAGTTTTACATTGTACATAAATTAAAAAAAAAAGAGTAACTTATATTTAAATCCATATAAAGGGTTCAAATAAACATGATAAAAAGTTAAAAAACTACATAAACTGTATAATAAAACTAAACACATATAATCAAGTATTGTTAAAAATATATAAAATAATGTTGTCATTGGTGAAAAATCACAAATGACCACCCATTAAATAAATTTTTTTGTGCAATGAGTTTGAGTAAAAAAAATATAAAAAATACAAATTCATAAAAAAATAGAAAAAAAGAGAAGATAAAATTTCTATTGAACCATTAACAAATTCATAAATATAAAAAATAAAGTATTTCAATAAGAAGATATGATTTAAATTTTTAGATCTAAAACATTAGATTAGATTTTTATGATGATTTGTTATTTATAAATAATTTTTGAATTTAGATTTTTGTTTAAGATACTTCAAGGATAGTTTAAAAGGTTTTTTTATATAAAATATTAAAAAAAAAACTTATACAAAAAATTAATTAAAATTTCTACTTAGGATGTTTCAAGGATAGTTTAAATATGTTTTTATAAAAAAAAATAAATAGAATTTCTCTTTATGATATTTCAAAGATAGTTTAAATTTTTTTTATAAAAAATAAAAAAAAAATTATAGAAAAAATTAATCATGGTCGTCAGACCCAATAGGCTTTAAACAGTCTCTGTATTCTTAATAATTTTTTTATTTTTTTAAATGATATTGACCTGTTGCAAAGCAGGGATCAATATACTTGTATGATATGGAAAGAGGTTATTTATGTTTGTACAATGGTTAATCAAATGTTCATATTAATATTTAAAAAAAAAAGTGTTTGAGAGTTTGTTGTAATTATTTTTCAAAGTATTTTTTGCTCATAAATACTTTAAGATAACACTTGTTTTTTTTTAAAAAAAAAATTATTTTTAATATTAGCATATCAAAATGATCCAAAAATATAAAAAAAAATTTAAAAAAAATTAAATTTTAATAAACCTCTGTTTGGATTGCACTTCTAAATAAAAACTTAGTCTAAGAGTTATAAAATCAATTGTAGATGTTGGATCCTATGCAAAACAATCCCTTTTGAGGAATTTATAGACCTTTTAAATGTAAAAAATAAGAGTGTTTGTTCTTGTTTTTACATGATTATTACTCTAAGAATTGAGATATATACATATGTTTAGAGAATTAAAAAAAAACATTTTATTTTGGTGGTTCAAGAAATATTTATACTCCCTAAACCTTATTATTTTAATGAATTAGAGGAATCAGAGAGTTAATAAGTATTAATGAGATGAAAATATGGTAGATCATTGAAAAACCTTTCATAAAAATAATTATTTTTGACATGAATAAATCATGCTTCTAATCTTAATATATTATATTATGGTCCGAGCATAGATCTTTAAGATCAATTAAGTTCGATGCACCATTAAACCTAAAGGAGATAAGTTAAACAGCTGCTTTCAAATTTATCATATCTTTATCTTTTTGCCCATAATCATTTCCCACTCCCTGTGACCCGAGATAAATGAATAAAACAAAGAAAAAAAGAAAAGCAAGAGGGAACAAACATGGAAAATATGAAACACAACAAGAGCCGAAACATCACCATGAACATCCACTGCTCCTGATTATACCATTGGGATGGAGTTATTGTCCTTGTGAAGAGAAAAATAATTAACTGGTGATCCCATGCCTGCACCCTTTGCTTGAGGTATATAAATTGCTGGGTTGTTTGTCCTCTATACAAAGGAGCAACAAACAGGAGGAATCAAACCAATAAGAACATGGATTTTACTTTATTTGAAGTGGGTGCAGCTCTCTTGAAAAGAGCATCGCTGTCAAAACAATATTGTTGGAGCTTTTGATGTCTGGTTAAAGATGTATAAATATCAATAATCATCTCGCAGCATGTTCTTCGCCAATGAATTGCACCATCTTGTCATTCCAGCCCCAAGGCTGTTATAGTTTCTTCTTAGGTAAGTTGGAAGTCTTCTGCAGGAACTTCGCAGCTGTTTCATCACTCGGATAACTCGCAGTGGCAAGATATATGTGCACGTGCAAGTTTTGGCTTCACCCTGTCAAGAGCTGTTGATTTATCAACACTCTTTAACAGTACAGTCTAGTCTCAGCCAAATAATTCTGTATCTGCATGCTGATAGTTGTTCCAAAATGACCGAGTAGAAAGAAAACGAACGGGCAGGGCACTTTGATTACAAAACCAAAATAGGCAAACCTAGAGAGACCACCGCAAACAAATGAAAATTACTTGCGGACCAACTAAGAGCACACCCATGAGAGGGATGGAATTATTTCAAATCATGGAGAAATTTTGAACATAGTACATCGGCAGACGCTACATCAGGGGTGGCATTAACTAAAAAGAAGCTTATAAAAAACATTACATCATTGAAAAACGGAGGGAAAACAACGGGAAACAAGCCATGTGTTCACACAACATGTCACCTTAAATAGAACTTCAAAGCAAGACACCTATCGCCCCCTCTCAAATCCAATACGAGTTCTACCAGAGCCTCCATCATGGCCATCTCGTGTTGAAGATCCTCCACTAGCTCTCATTGTGCCACCAGAACCAACTTTGTCCATGGCTTTCTTACCCTTCTTCACTTCAGTCAAAAACTGATCCAGACCAAATGGATCAGCTTCTTCTTCAGCCTTCTCAAACTCAACTGGCCTGTCCCGTGGGCCAGTCCTCTGTGAAGTACCAGCAAATTCCTTGTCAGGTTTGAATCGTTCAGTCTTCATTATCTTATCTATTTGCTCATCTGCACCTCCATACATATCAGCATCTGCATTCTTCTTTGGCTGATATAGAGTTGACAGTGTGGGCTGAGCTGTGAAAAGGCCTTTGTCGTACACGTTGTATTGATCATCAGCAGCAAAACCAGAATCCATTCCTTTCTCTTGGTTGAACAACCTTTGATCATATGCAACTTCTCCCCCTTTCCCAGCTCCAGTAGAGGCCATACCAAGAGCAACCTTCTCACTGATGTCACGATCTCTATCTCTTGTGATCTTGCTCTTCTTACCCATTGCAGCATCTTTTGCTTCCAGTCTTCTTTCTCTCTCCCTTTCTCGACGGCGCTCCTCTCGAATTTTCTCACGCCGCAGCCTCTCTTCCCTCTCTTCCCTTGTCTCCTTTGGGGCATCCCTCTCCCTTTCCTTCACGTGTTCATAATCCCCTCTCATGTCAACATCATCCATTGCACCCCTCTCTAATGGAACTGGAGCAGAAGGTGGGGGTGCTGCACCGGTTCTCTCAGAACGTGCTTTCTGAGCTAATGCCCGCAACTCCTGCTCTTTCCTTTCCTTCTCCTTCATCATCATCTCCTTTTGAACCTTGGATCTCATAGCAACAGCCTCTCTAGCCTTCTGCTCAGCAACATAAAGGGCCTCTGATAGCTTAGCAAAATTATCATTAATCTGAACATCCTGCAGGCCTCTTCCATCAGCAGCCAGACGCTTATCAAGAGGAATTGTGTAACCCTTAGGATTTTTCCAATTCGAGATACAAGGTGGGATTTTCCAATCCTGCTGATCTTTCACAGTCACAGGTCGAGGTGGCGAGTGCATAACTGGCACAGGTGGTGATCCCGAAGCCTTAGGAACCCTCTTATGCTTGAACTTAGGTGGCTCAAGTGGGTCCACAGGCATCTCCACCATTCTAATAATCCTCTCTTTGGCACCCGAGTTAAACGCTGCTGACTGCTGCGAAGGCTTATACTTAATATACTTCGAATCCGAAGATTGTTTGGGCACATTCTTTGGTTGTGCTGCGCTCAACCTGACATTCACAATTTTTTCAAGTGCAGCTTTTGTTTCCAGCGTGGTCTCCTCAATCTCTTTTTGCAATTCCTCATCCTCATCCTCATCCTCATCTCCCTCTTCCTCACTCTTCAACAGCTTTGGAATCAAATCCTTATGTTGCGAATACACAATCTTCTTGGCATTCTCATTCTGTTTCACAATTGCATCATAAGCAACGTTCCCATGAGCATCAACAGTCAACGCCAAAATCTTCGAACCAGGTTTTGCAGATTTACTCCTACCCATATCAAGCGGGTATTGAGCAACATGAATCTCAGGAAATGCACCCCCATCACCAAAATCTTCAACTTTCCTGGGAACAAAACCCTTACGCTGCAAGTAAGGAGGTACGGGGTTATGCTTAATTGCAGCTGAAGCAGATTGTTCAGCCTCAGATGAACTAAACCTCTGCTTGAACCACGGATCATTGGAATGATCATAATAAGTTGTGGTAGTGGATTTAACCGGAGGCAGTAATTCCTTTAAAGCCGCCATGATAATTGCAGCCTCCTAGACGAAGATAAAACCCTAACCCTAACCCTAAATCTTCCATTAAAAAAAGTGAAAGAAATCAATCAGTTCACCTACGTAATCAAATCTTAATTAAGAACTAATTAATATAACAAAAAAATATGAATAAACTTCATCAAATAAAAATAGATTCTTAATTGCATAAACAGAGAGGAAAAAAGGAAGAAAAATCAACCTACTTACTCGAATATGTCTCTGCTGACGCCTTTTCAGAAGAAATATTTCAAAGAAAAGATGATACGATAAAGGGATTCGACAACAAATTTGAGAGAGAGAGAGAGAGAGACGCGGCTGGTGATAGAAAAACACGATCAGATAATTGAAAGCTGAGAGAGAGCAAGAGGACATATGGATGGGTCGTTTTTATTAGGCTTGTTTTACTCGGGTCGGTGCTCCAGAAGCCGTCAGGACTCGGGCTCGAGACCGGGCTAATCAATAAGAGCCACGTTGATGACTATGTCGGATGACCAATACGATCTTACCACTTATATACGTCAGGGACAACAATGTCAATAAAATAGTCAAATTAGACCTATATTTGTAATTTGATAGTTTGCTGGAGGCACCGTTTGGCAGTTCGCGCAAATCAGCAGCTCAGTCAGAGGAGTCGTTCCTCACACCCTCCTCTTCTACTCAAAGTCAAACTCAAACTCAAAGGCGTCTTCTCTTTCTACTAGACGACCTCAAAAAGCAAAAAACCCTCCGTTACAAAGGCACACAAATATTATTGATGGCGGTCGTGGAGATCTCGAGAGAGACGACAGCAAAAACGCTGCGAAATGCGTTTGGCAATGTGCTATCTTTCTTCATTCTCCTCTTGAGTGGAGTTCTGGCGTTCTCGATCCGCCTTTTCTCTGTCAGTTCACTCCTCTAACCTCTGTCTCTAGATCCGATCTTTATAATTGCCATTTCTGGTTTACTTTTGTGCTTACCCGTTTGGTTGCTGAGGAAGTAGAGGGAAATTCAATTAAACTGGTTTATTGATCAACTTTTTAAATTTGAATTGTTTTGAATTCGCTGTCTTTTCCATTTGGAAAGCAAAGGAAAAGATATGAGATTTTTTCTTTGCCTTAAAAAAATAAAAAATTATTTCTTTTTCTTCTGAAACTAAAGCGAGAAGGTTGACTTGGCCTGGCCAGGTAATTTTTTTGATTGTATGATTTCAGCCTTTTTTTTGTTTAAAAAACGCTTTGGTATTATTGGAATTAGAGTTGATTCGTGTGTTTTGTTAGTTGTTGCAGTTTTGTAAACTTGTGGATTGATTTTCAGGTAATAAAGTACGAGAGTGTTATTCACGAGTTCGATCCGTATTTCAATTACAGAGTCACCCAGGTTCAATTTTCCTCACGATAGTTCTTGAAATCCTTTCTTTTCTTTTTTTATACAAATTTATACAGAGAATTAGAAATTTAAGTGTTGTTGGTTTCAGTTTTTGACAAAGAATGGGGTTTATGACTTTTGGAATTGGTTTGATGATCGAACCTGGTAAGCACAGATAATTCTCACGTTGGAAAGTTGTTAGTTAGCTGTTCTTTTTGCTAGGTTTTTGTATGGGAGCTTAAATTGCTTGTTTTTGTATATTTCACTTAAGGTATCCTCTTGGTCGTGTGATTGGTGGAACTGTTTACCCTGGGTTGACCTTGACAGCAGGCACACTTTGGTGGTGAGTACCTTGTAGGTAATCATAAGAAATGCATTCATAGTTTCTGGCATAAATTTGCAATGCTACTTTTCTGTGCTTGTTGCTGTTTGCAGTTTCCGTGAATTATTAACATTTGAAATGGCATGTATTACTGAGTCCTATATTGTCTAATTTTTTGAGTCATTCCTATCCGGTGTCATGTTATTGAATTCCTTGAACATTCCATTGTCTGTCGAGTCTGTTTGTGTATTCACTGTACCAATTTTCTCTGCATTTGCTTCATGGGCGACTTACCTTGTGACCAAGGTTTGTATTGTGACTCAATTACTGTCTCTACTTATGTAGATTGTAGTTGATTTTGCTGATGACATTCAATTGTTTATCTTAATAGGCAGTTAAGGGTACTGGTGCAGGACTGACAGCAGCTGTTCTTTTGGCCATGGTAAATTATTTAACGGGTATTCATAACTTTATGGTTTCCTTGTATTGTATCTATATTTTTTGAACAGCAGCAATGAGGCATTACTTTTTGATATGAATTTGTCTCAATATTATAAAAAACTATTTTACCTAGTTTCTAATATTCTGTATGTCTTCCAATTGGTATGCCTGGTTCACAATTCCCTTTGTCTATTTTGTTTTGTCTTTAGTATTCTGATCAGTTGATGAATGAAGATCATTGTAAATAAAAATGTTATTATTTTTTTTTTTAGAGGATACAACGTTTGACAAATTTGAAGGAAAAATGTTCAACTTTTAACACATGCTTTAAAGTCTGTATAGTTGGGGTGGCCCACTGTATAAGATATTATTGTTGTAAGGCTTCCTGTAGTCCTTCAGAATGTATAAACATGTTGAACTCAAAATCATAACTGCTAGATTATTTGCTCATATATATCTCGATCTGTGGCTGGTAGCTATGACAATGAAGCTGTAGCTATATTTGCTCTCATCTTTACTTTCTATCTTTATATAAAAGTTACGATTCTGATGTCAATTAGAGAAAACAAAATTCCGCACATTCTTCTCGAAATTGTAAATTCAAGGAGAAATCAGATCTAATGTACCGTTTTCTATTTTTACTTCGTAAACTTGTATCCCAAAGATTGGTTGTTGGTTCTGTGGTGTTTTATTTTTCACATTTTATTTGTTGCTGATATAGATTTTATATCATGTGCAGACATTGAATACAGGACCCCTCTTTTACGCCGCTTTAAATGCCTTGGCATAATTTTACATGGTAGGCTTTGTGATAATATTTCCTGGCATCTTATTATTCCTTATGATAGTTATGTTCATTGTTACATTGCTTTGTCTTTCAGGTTTGTTCATGGGGAGGGTACACTTTTATTATTAATCTTATTCCAACGCATGTGCTTTAGTGCATTGTGACTGGTCGCTACTCTTCTCGACTGTATATTGCATATGCTCTGCTTGTAAGTGCCTATAATGCTCAATAAGATTGTGTATCATAGTGAAAGGAAAATAGACAATCAATAGTTTATCACAATAATTGAAGATTGCATGCTAACATTGCTTGTCTTTGGACAAGAAGAAGAAAACTGTTTACGTATAGGGTTTTTTTTTTTTTTTAAATCATTAATGAAGTGAGAATACATAATCTGGAGTTAAGACTTATGACTACATATTAGGATACATAGGAGGTCTGGGTGAGTGTAGATTTTGGCTGTCCCTCACCTTTCATCGATGTGTTTTTATACTACTGATAACTAATTCTGAACTTTTTCATGTGCATGGATAAAATGATAACCTCTTCGCTTTACATTTATCACTGTAATACATAGGTTTTTATTACCCTTCTCTTGTTTTACTCATAGGGCACCATAGATGTGAAATCATCTCGTCTCTGTTGAACCACAATTAACGCAAGCAACTTCTTTTTTTTTTCACCTTGACGTACTAACTAAATGCCAGGGGCTTGGGAACATTGGGAACATTATTTAAAGAACACCCTTTTGTTCTTTATGTCTGCTACCTTGTCAATGGGCGAGTAATTTTTTTTTCTTATCTTACTCTGATGTCTTAGGTACAAGTCATGGGCTTAGGGACAATTTTTTAAAGAACATACCTGATGCAAGTTCGGGTATTCCAAGTGACAGCACTCTAGTTCAAAGCAAGCAAAGCAAGCAGAAGGCCATAATAATTGACAGGGATCAAGCTAATTCAAGTAAAGGGATGCATTCATTTGATACAACAAATACTTGGTATTTTCATAGTCAATTATATGATACTATGAAAGGAACTTGATTTGTTGTTAGTATAAGTTAGTATTATGAATTCCTGATAATATTTATAAGTTTTGTGTTACTTGAATAAAATAATTAATATGATCACGTTAAAAATTTATAATAACATATTAAGGGTAAATCATCTTATTGGAATCTTTTTTAAAAAGAGTTTATTAAACTTATTTGAAATACTATTAGTGGATCTTCTAATCTTGATATTTGTTTTTATTATTATTTAATTATTACATTAATCTTACATCTCAAAGTTCTTTTTAACTTATTATTGTTGTTGTTGTTGTTGTTATTTATAATTTATATAGTTAACCTTCTTATTGTTCAATCTTGATTTTTCCGGGTTATTTATTACTTCGACATTCCTACACTTGAAAGAAGACATTCTTTTGGTCGTGTCATTACATTATATGTAGAAACTAATTATTTTTTTTTAAGGGGTTGATACTAGAATTTTATAATTATTATTTTGTTCAAGTATTTTAAGATATTAAATGGATTTAAATTTATTATTAAGAACAAATGTTGTTCTTTTATAATAATATTGTTTTTATGGATCTGATAATTATATAAATAGTTTATATATACTTGAATTTAAAATCTTTAGGTTCAATATAAACTATAATAAAACTAAAATACAAATTGGAATAAGTATTAAGAAACTTTGATTTGATCGATATAGTTGATATTTGAGCAAATATTTCAAGGATTATTTAACAAAAGAAATATTCTTTACACCTTTTAGAACATTATATTCAGGTTCAAGGCTAAAATATTGGATATTTAACCTAAACTTTAAGAAACAGAAAATCTTTATAAATTTAATACGACATATCATACATCAATGAGATAAGGACTTTTCATAAATGTTGTGAATAATATATTGCTCATAATTGATGAGCCTACCAATTACTTAGAAGTAATATATGATATTTATTATAAGAAATGAGTTAAAGTTGTGAACTACATATATTAACCAAGTTTTGAACTTAGTTGATTCACCTAAAAGAATAAAACTCAATAGATCTAAGTGAGTTTTTAGGAGAAAGAATAACATGAAAAGTAATCGATAAATATACAATGCAAGATTTGAGTAGAAATATTCAATTTTAATGGTATAGTCAATAAATGTGATTCTATAAAAAATATGGATAAGCCCTGTGTTTACAAAAAGTTAATAAGAATAGTGTTATTTTTCTAATATTATATGTAGATGACATATTATTATTAAGAAATGGTATATATCTACTTTAATTAGTAAATTTTTTGTTGTTCAAGAGTTTCTCCATAAAGAAATTGAGAGAAACAATCTATCTATTAGATATAGAAATCTATAGAGATAGATCTAGAAGGTTACTTAGATTGTCTCAATCAATGCATATAGATTAGATGCTAAAATAGCTTAACATGAAATAATCTAAGATTATATTTTTATTTATTTTGCATGGAACACCTTCCTCTAAAAATATGTATTTTAAAACTTAAATTAAGTGATATATGATGGAAATGGTATCCTATAATTAGTTATAGGATCCATCAATAAAGAAGATAAACTATAAATTTAACATTGTTTGAATTAAGATTTTATTCAATGAAATGTTGGAAAAAAATAGTAAACACTAATCAATATATATTTTACTATAAATGATAGTGCTCTGAGTTTGAAGAGTTCGAAACAAAAGAACACAACTAATTTTATAATTAAATAAAGTACATCTCTATTTTTGAGGAAACAAAAAGGTTGTTTGGATCAAGAAGTTCCTCAATGAATTAGGTTGGTCCCTATCATTGTTGATCTGGTTGCCCTTAACTATAATAACAATAAAATTATTGCATAAACAAATGAACTAATGTCTCATCAATGATCCAAACAATTACTTAAGAAATTCTATTTGATTTGAAAAATTAATGAAATGAAAGATGTAAAGATAGAGTACCCACCGAAGAGTATCTAGAAGATCCTCTTACTAAGTCACTATCCATGTAAAAACATTAATGCTACATAGAGTAATATGATTTTAAGAATATATAAAAGATAAAAAATTACATCTCTAATAACCCATAGGAAACCACAAAATAAAACATAAAAAACCTAAATTGAAACAAAGGGAACAAGCTCCCTAAACAAAAGAACAACCAAAAGTTGCTAAAAAATGGTTAGACTGAGAACCCGATCCTAGGGAGGTGCCCAGCCAAACCAAATAAAACAATTGGAAACCAAGAAAAAACCATAAAAATATACATAATGCAAAGAGAAAGACCTAAAGACTTTAATGATAGGCCTACCAACAATAAAACTAGTACGTTAAACATGTTATTAGTACTTAAAAGTGTATTTTTATCAAGGTTTTATATCAATATTTTGCACTTGAAGCATTACTAACTCCTTAACTAAAGCATATTTTATAATAATAAGTCTGATAATATAAGATATATGTTCATCTTAAATACAGACCTATCACATAAATCAAAGGATTGATTGATGAGTTTAACTACTGAAATTAAGAAGACAAAGAGAGGGTGAAGTTTATAAAAAAGATGCTGGTTTAGTCCAAACTGGAACATTGTTCAGTCATTGGGTCATATTTGAAGCTATAGATTTTGGATTTTAACTTTGTTTACATGGTTAGAAAGATAGGATATAAGCCTAAAACATTTTTAAGGAATGCAAGACTCAATTCTGCTGTTTGGAAATCCAAATCTTAGCAACAATAGAGAAGTCCAAATCTGTACTACAACTCATACACTATTTAGTGTTCAGCCCATATCTTGAGTTCTAGAAGTTCAAATGACCTTAATTATTTTTTGTTGGAAAACTGAGATAATTTTTTAGAACTTTCATGAATTAAAATCTATTTAAATTTTGACATTAGCAATGATGTTTTTGGTAGATAAGAAGATAAAGATTGTCACCAAGTCAAGATGTAATCACCTACTTAATAATTAGTCAACAAATCAATAGTTTTTAATTTTAGCTTATAAAAAGGAGGCATTTGTCATGTATTTAGGCATATTGGTTTCAAATCAAGATCATGTTTTTGCTATCTTTTTATATATTTTTGTAATGTTTTGCTTCATTAATCTCTTGTTTATGCTTTTCATTTAATTTTCTTTACTTAATTAACTTATATCTTATTTATATTCTTATCTGGTTTATTTATGTTTCTCTTTGTCATTTTATTTAGTTAAATTTATTTATTAAGATGAAAAGGTTACACTAATGGTTTAAGAATCAGTATAGTATAAACTTAACGTGGATTTTAAAATTTGATACAACATGTTGTGTATTTGTTATCTTATTCACTCTTAATACTTTGCTTGTTAAATGGTTAATTTAAATTTATATTGTATAGCCCTTGGTATAACAAATACTTGGCACTTTCATAGCCCAACCTTATGGTATAACCGATACTTGCGTTATGAAAAGTGATTAGTACTTAAAATGTATTTTTATCAAGGTTTTATATCATCATTTTGCACTTGAAGTATTAATAACTCCTTAACTAAAGCATGTTTTATAATAACATAACTAATAATATAACATACTTTTAATTTGTGGTAAATGTTTATCTTAAACGCAAGCTTATCACATAAATAAAATGATTGATTGATAAGTTTAAGTACTAAAATTGAAAAGACAAAGATATGGTTAAATTTAGAAAAGAGATACTAGTACAGTCCAAACTGAAATACTGTTCGGTAATTAGGTTATATTTGGAGTTGTAGATCTCAAATTTAAGTATACTTTATATGGATGAAAAGGTAAGACATAAGCCTACAACTTTCATGGGAGTCCAAGATTTAAAAATGTTGCTTTCAAGTCCAAATTATAGCAACAACGAAGAAGTCTGAATCTATCCTGCAGCTTAAACACTGTTCAGTGTTCAGCCCATATCTTAAGTTCTAGAAGTCTAAATGACCTCAATTTTTTTTTCCTAGAAAGCTGAGATAATTTCCTAAAATTTTCATGTGGAGGTTTAGGCAAACAAGAAAATAAGAATTATCACCAAGTCAAGAGTTGGGTCACTCACTCAATAATTAGTCCTTAAATCAATGGTTTTCAATTTTGGCCTATAAAAGGAGGCATTTACCATGCAT